GGGAGCCGAGGAGAGAGGAAGGCAGGGGCTGTAGGCGGGAGAGCGCCGTTGGATGGCGGGAAGACGAAGGCTGAGCTGAGGGTGGCGGATCGTCTCCGAGCACGGAGCGGAGAAGGGGGAGGCGGAGGGAGAGCAGGGCCAGCGGGGAGGGGGGTTCTTGAGGGGATGGCGTAGGGAGGCCATAAAATCAGAGAACACTAGAACTGGAAGGGAGCTCGAGAGCTCCTCATGGCTAAGACATTCGAGGACGCGCTCTAGGCACCAGCAAAACAAGCAGGTGCTTGGGGTGACACATGGCCAGGGGTGGCTCTCTGGCCCGCAGGAGGAGCAGGGGGGGAGCCCAGTACCTGGCTGCTCGGAGCCTGCCCTGGAGCGATGGGCACTGTGTGTGGGCACCCCCTGCTGGGGCGTTTCCTGGAGGGTGGCCGTGGCTGCTGCGTGACACTGAGCCCGGCAGGGCAAGCCCCGGTTGTGGTGGTTGCTCCTAGCAGCCGGCTCCTGGGGCGCTGGGACTCAGCCACAGCAGAGCGGTCACGACAGCCGTTCCTGCCACTGCCAAGCAGCTAGGGAGCAGAGTGACAGCGAATAGCAGCCAGACACGCACGCAATCCTGACCCCCTACTTCCCCGGGGGTTCTCCAGCAGCCTAGCCAGAGGCGGGGAAGTTGGGGTGGGATACAAGGGAACGAAAGAGAAGTCAGAGTCCCGTGTGAATACCAGGCGCTCAGCCTCAGCCGTAACATCCCCTCCCTCCCAACCCTTCCTTCTGTATCCGACACAGCTCTGCTTTGGGTGAAAGTGGCTCCTCAGCCTCGTAGGGAGCGAAGGAGAGAGAGAGAGGGAGGGGCTTTCTGCTCCGGTGCACACCGATTTATGGCTCCCAGGACGCACCCGGGTCGTAGGACCCCCCGAGTTCCTTTTTCTCTCAGTAGTCAGAAATAAAAGCCCAGGTATCCTCCAGACTGACACAACCTGGAAAAGGTTGCCAGGCAAGCGGATTCCCTCCGCTAAAAAAGTCACTCCTCCCTCATTGATTATGTGCATTGGACAAACGTCTCAGACACTTCACCAAAGGATCGATGCCCACAACACAGATATGAGACAGGATCACAAAGAAAAAACAGTTTCTTGCCATTTCAACCAGAAAGGGCATTGTCGCAAAGACCTTTTAAGACTGCACTTGAAAGAGAATCCTCTGAACTGTCATTCGTGCTTAAATTCCACACTTTACGCCTAAGTTTGAATAAAGACTCTAATTATCTTACCCATTACAAAGATCGCTTCCCCAATTATCACCTCTAATATCATTAGCTCACAGACATTTACCTCTCCCCCCTATCCCCCTTCTGTTCTGAAATTTGATTTGTCCTTTTCATATTTTTTAAATTGTATCCTTTGGTATATATGGTTGTGACAATTTTCTTCCACTATTTGATCTGAGGAAGTGGGTCTGGCCCACGAAAGCTCATCCCCTAATAAACCATCTTGTTAGTCTTTAAAGTGCT